TGTAGAACTAAAGAAAATAATTGATATACATACCAAAAAGACACATTGACAATTTAATACCTTGGCACTTAAGAAATCATGGAAAGCATTTAAATTAAAATCTTCTTTTGAGTACCTCCTGCTCCAATTCGTAGTTGTCCATGATGAATTGTTTCAATCATCTAATGAAATAATCAAATTATGATAAAACTTCCGAACGGTTACAACCGTGTGGGAAGTTATAAGAGATTATTAATAATATTAATTATTAATATTGATTATTAGATTTTTAAAAACTAAAAATTCTAGAATATTTGTTGTACTGATTTAAAGAATTAGTTTTCAGAGGGTGTGGAGTAGTAGTTTTGAGATGGTGTTTTCTAATGATAAGGTTAGTTATTTTTTGAAATTCAAAATTTTAAATTATTATTTTTTGAAATTATGTAACTTTTTTTAATTATCAAAACTGCAAACTCTTATGTAAAAATAAACTGCATTTTTTAAATTTAAAAAAAGAGAGGAAGAAAACGGGATAAGTGGTTTCAAGTTTCAACCGTCCTTTTATATATATATATATATATATATATATATATATATATATATATATATTTATTTATTTATTTATTTTTATCGTTTTCTATTTTTATTTGACTTTTTAAAATGTAAAAACTATGGTAAATATTTTGAAAAAAATAACGCAGTTGTAGTATTTTTCAGAACATTTTAAAATTTAACTTATTTTTAAATTTAAATTTTATTTTTCAAAATTAAATAATTAAGAAATTTTGTGGTGATGATACGTGGCACTTTTTCTTCTCCTATTATATATAGATAGAAGATTATATTATTATTATTATTATTATTATTATTATTAGATAATGCTTTTTTGTTAATAAGTTTTTAATTATATATATTTAATTGTTTTTTTGAAACTCAAAATTGAAGAATCTAACTTGTATGTTAAAATTCAACGTTTTTCCTTTTTTTTTTTAAAAAAAAAACAAAAAATCTAATTTGTCTTCTTAAACAGTAACTGTTTTCCCTTAAATAAAAAAATTACATTAATTCTATTTAATTAGTTTATAATTTTAAAATAAAAAATTAGAGATTAATTGTGGCGTTGACACGTAGGCACTATCACCTCTCCTATTATATATATATAGATTATTATTATTATTATTAGATAATGCTTTTTTTGTTAATAAGTTTTTAATTATATATATTTAATTGTTTTTTTGAAACTCAAAATTGAAGAATCTAACTTGTATGTTAAAATTCAACGTTTTTCCTTTTTTTTTTTAAAAAAAACAAAAAATCTAATTTGTCTTCTTAAACAGTAACTGTTTTCCCTTAAATAAAAAAATTACATTAATTCTATTTAATTAGTTTATAATTTTAAAATAAAAAATTAGAGATTAATTGTGGCGTTGACACGTAGGCACTATCACCTCTCCTATTATATATATATAGATATATATAGATAGAAGATTATATTATTATTATTATTATTATTATTATTATTATTAGATAATGCTTTTTTGTTAATAAGTTTTTAATTATATATATTTAATTGTTTTTTTGAAACTCAAAATTGAAGAATCTAACTTGTATGTTAAAATTCAACGTTTTTCCTTTTTTTTTAATAAAAAAAAACAAAAAATCTAATTTGTCTTCTTAAACAGTAACTGTTTTCCCTTAAATAAAAAAATTACATTAATTCTATTTAATTAGTTTATAATTTTAAAATAAAAAATTAGAGATTAATTGTGGCGTTGACACGTAGGCACTATCACCTCTCCTATTATATATATATAGATTAGATAATGCTTTTTTGTTAATAAGTTTTTAATTATATATATTTAATTGTTTTTTTGAAACTCAAAATTGAAGAATCTAACTTGTATGTTAAAATTCAACGTTTTTCCTTTTTTTTAAAAACAAAAAAACAAAAAATCTAATTTGTCTTCTTAAACAGTAACTGTTTTCCCTTAAATAAAAAAATTACATTAATTCTATTTAATTAGTTTATAATTTTAAAATAAAAAATTAGAGATTAATTGTGGCGTTGACACGTAGGCACTATCACCTCTCCTATTATATAGATATATAGATTGTAATTTATTGTTTATTTTTCGTCAATTTCAAACAATATATGTTTATCATATAATTCATTTTATGTGGTACCAATAGAATTTAGAGAGTCAATTAAATTTTGTATATAAGTTTTAAATAATTAAGCTGTTAATTATTGTAATGTATAGTATTACTTATATTATTTTTAAATATATTTAAATATTATATGTTAGGTTTTTTATCCTAATTTATATGGCATTGATAGAATTGAAAGTGTCAAATAATTGTTAATTATTGTAATAGATAATATGGAGTATTTAAGTCATTTATAGTATAGTAATTAATATATAATATGTAGTATTTAAGTGTTATATTATGGAATTTGAGAAGTTATTGAAATTTTTATATGATTTTAAAAATATTTTAAATTGTTAGCTATTGTGATTTGTAGTACTTTTTTTTTTACATAATTTTGAAAATAATATTTATTACTCTGTTTGTTCTAATTTATGTGGCACAAGCAGAATTTCAAATATTAACCCTTTTTTATATGTCTCTTTAATATATTAAGTTGTTAATTATTGTATTTTATAGTACATTTTGAACCTAATTTTTTAATAATATATGTTATTTGCCATGTCCCAATTTATGTGACATTAATTGATAGATTTGTTGGAGTTGAGAGATTTATTTTGTTAATTATTGTAATTTATAGTTTCTTTTTCGTCAATTTCAAACAATATATGTTGTTAATTGATAGAATACTTTTAATGTAATTTTTTTTAAAAATATGTGTGACTGTCCATGTCTCAATTTATGTGGCACATGTAAAGTTTTGACAATTAACCAAAATTTTAATACATTTAAAAAAAAATTTAAGTCGTTAAATTTTAAGTAATTTAAATTGTTGTATTATTTATTACAATTTATAATGCTTTTAAAGTAGTTTAAATATTGTACTTTTTATTATGATTTATAACACTTTTTTTTTAATTTATGTCATACTATGGAATTTGAGAAGTTATTGAAATTTTTATATGATTTTAAAAATATTTTAAATTGTTAGCTATTGTGATTTGTAGTACTTTTTTTTAACATAATTTTGAAAATAATATTTATTACTCTATTTGTTCTAATTTATGTGGCAAATGCAGAATTTCAAATATTAACCCTTTTTTATATGTCTCTTTAATATATTAAGTTGTTAATTATTGTATTTTTTAGTACATTTTGAACCTAATTTTTTAATAATATATGTTATTTGCCATGTCCCAATTTATGTGACATTAATTGATAGATTTGTTGGAGTTGAGAGATTTATTTTGTTAATTATTGTAATTTATAATTTGTTTTTCGTCAATTTCAAACAATATATGTTGTTAATCGATAGATTTTTTGGAGTGGCTATTTTTTTTATTAATTATTGTAATTTATTGTTTCTTTTTCATCAATTTCAAACAATATATGTTTATTGTATAATTCATTTTATGTGGTACCAATAGAATTTAGAGAGTCAATTTATTTTTTTAGATAAGTTTTAAATAATTAAGCTGTTAATTATTGTAATGTATGGTATTACTTATATTATTTTTAAATATATTTAAATATTATATCTTAGGTTTTTTATCCTAATTTACATGGCATTGATAGAATTTAAAGTGTCAAATAATTGTTAATTATTGTAAAAGATAATATGGAGTATTTAAGTCATTTATAGTATAGTAATTAATATATAATATGTAGTATTTAAGTGGAAGGTGGTGGGGTCCACTTATATAGTTTGATAAATATATTGGATATTAGTAGTGATTTATAGTATAGTAATTAATAATATATAATATGTAGTATTTAAGTGGAAGGTTGTGGGGCCCACTTATATATTTTATAAATATATTGGACATTAGTAGTAATCTTATTGGCACAATGGTAGTCATTCCTAGAGTCTTCTATAATATAGTAATGCCTCATTTATGATGATATCTTCAAACAAGCGCAAATTTATCGTCAAATGTCTACAAAGACCGTCCTATCATAAAGCTTATTCATGAGACATTTTCACTTGCATTCACATCTTTTAGAAAAAATTGCTAAAACTATAACCGTCTTATCAATAGTTGAAACTTAATTTAAAATGTGTTGATTATAGAGTCTCTTATTAAAATACACCAAAAGTGAAATATTCTCTAGACAACTTTGGGCCACCCTACTCCACCTAAACCCCCTAAAGAACCTGATTCCACTTTTTTTATTATCATTATCATCATCATTATTATTATTATTATTATTATTATTATTCTGGTAATGCGTAGATATAATTTGCAGAATTTAACAACTAATTATGCTTTCATAATAGTAAATGTCTTTATCTTTATCCAAAGTCATGAAAACATGTTGAAAGTCACGAATATGATCCCCTAGTAGGCCACTAACAAAAATTATGGAGGTTATTGTTCCTCCGGACTTCTCGAAAAATTATATTATATATATATATATATATATATAATAAAGTTGAATTCACTTATATTATTTGTATATTAACTACTTATGACATATTTGAGATCATAATTTCAAAATATTATTTTTTTATAAGAAAAATTTTGACGTAACGAGTAAAATTCTTGTTATGTGACAGTAAATCACAGATTTGAGTTATGAAAATAGCCTCTTACAAAAATGCATGAAGATTGCATACAATCGACCCTTATGATTCAGTCCTTCTCTACATCTCATACCTTTGTGTAAATCGAAAATGATAGAGTAATTAATAATTTCTTAATGGCATATATTATATACTATGTGGAATATCCTGGGAGTAATTAGTCTTTTCCACAGAGAACATGAGTGTCACATGTTGGTTAATGTACAAAGGAACAATATTAATTCCTCAATAATCATTAATCTCCTCTTATTAATAAGCTCTAATCCAAGCTCTTTCTTCTCAACAATATACTCACAAATTACTAGTAATATTTGCCTAGTGTTTTCTTGAAATTTCAAGAATCAAAATGGCAAAGATCAACAAAGACTCCTAATATAAAAAGATTTTCAAGTGGGATAATAGAAAGAAACAAAGCCAAAGTTCTGATGAAATAAAAGGGAAATCAAAATCAAACATGGTGCTTATAGAATACAATCATGCTCCAGGAAAAGTTCATCAAAAGCAGGAAATTAAAGGTGATTTTTGTTAATGTTTTTATCTTTATTCATGCTTTCCAATATTACTTAGTCATCATATCATGTAGTCGAGGGTTTTTTGGAAACAACTTTTCTATCTTGGTAAAGTTTGTGTACACTCTACTCTGTTTAGATTCTAGTTATGAAATTTCAGTTGATATGTTATTATTGTTGTTGTATTGTCATCATGTCATGTGCAGGGGTAGATACAGAGTGTTAATAACATGTTTATCAGAATTCAATAGTTTTAATTCGAAATTTGTATATGTGTTAAAAAAAAACTCACTTAATAAGTATGAATAATTGATTTTGATCAAATAGGTTAATTAAATGACTTGTCTAGAATTTCGAACTCAAATTCATAAAATTCAAATAATGAATTTACTTCTAGCCAGTGAAAAAAAAAAGTTAAGTCATGAAAATAGCCTCTTGTGGTATAATGAGAAGTAATTAAGGATGCATATATGATAGTTCAAGTGTGATTCGATCCTGCTCCAAGTCTTGTGCATAACAAAAACTTAGTGCATTGGATTGCCCTTTTTAATTGATTTAATATATGCTTGTATCAGTGTATTTAATATGAATATTTTCCCTGTTCTTTCTTATATTATTCCTTAAATCCGATAAGTTTGAGCTCGTAGAATTTTGACTCATTTCTTTAACGAACGAAAACTATGAAGTAAATCAGATAGATAAAAGTACATACTATGTGAAGTCATTTGTGCTTCCCCTTCCTCACTATCCCATAGGCCATAAGTACAAATTATTTGAATCAATAGAGAACCTTTATTATATATGAATTGATATTATTTCATTCTTCCTTCTTGAAACTAAAAGAGATAGAATTAGATCTATTTTCGAAATGCCTTTCTGGATATGCCTATGTTGTGGCATGTAACTCTGTTTATGTACTTGGAGTTTAAAAATAAGATTCTAAAATGAAATGAAAATGCATATAGAGTGAGCTAAATACAATGATGTTGATCACCAAAGAAAGAAAAAACCATAATAGATTCTCTTTTAATAAGTTTTGAACTAAAATCTTTCTCATGATAGTATATAATATATATTACGTTTGAGGTTTTTCTCGAGCCTTGATTATATCAACATCTTTGTTTTAAGGTGATGATAGTATATAATATATATTACACTTGAGGTCTTTCTCGAGCCTTGATTGTATCAACATCTTTGTTTAAAGACTTTAAAAAATAAGACAGAAATTTTCATCGATCTTCATATATTTTTGTATGTCATTCTGCCAGCAAGAAGCAAATGTCAGAATTTACACTTATTTATATTTATAGTGATCAATCTTTGAATGTTGACATTTCTTCAAAATTTTCTAACAGATAGTAAGTCTAGTGACAAAAATCATAATGACAAATACTTCTCTGGTTATATTAATCGAGTGAAGAACAAGATGAGAACAACAACATCAAATTTTGATATGATTGATGATGGTGGTTCTAGAAAGCCTACCATAAGAAGAGATAGTTTTAATGATACAATTTCTCATTACATCAATCGCGCAAAGCTCAAGATTAGAACTACAACAATTGTTAGTCGTAGCGATCATAAATAATATATTGTTTTATAATATATAGTATTGTATTGAAGTCGTGAAAATAATGTTTAATCTAATGTATTTGACATGATTATGTTGTATAATCACATATTTGGATTCAAATATGAACACACCTTACCCTATTTCTTGTTATAATATTTTGATCTATTCCTCCTATCGATATTATATTTCACCCTTTAATGTAATTAGTGACAGGGTTAGAAATTTTAAAAAATAATCGAAAATTGCACAATATCATATCTAAGTATGTTTGCCCCACTTTCATCACTAAATTAGAAGTTTTTTTTTTATTCAATAATTTATATGTATACAAAATATTTTGTATTTTTGCTTACTACACAATGTAATTAAATCTCCTTTATTATATTAACTTTGCCACTATATACAAATACTCTTCAATTCCCACCGATTACTTGTCACTGCTCATCTTTTTGTTTCTCGTAGTCCTTCCACATCAATACTACTAGCTATTTCTTAATAGTGTGTGCAAAAAACAATCAAAACAAACAAGTGTGAATTGATTGGTTGTGTAATTATTGAACCATTTTGGAAAAGTTTGAATGGACATTTCAACACGTGTTTGATCATAATTTTTTAAAATTATATTTCATATTATTTATTTATTCCAAAATATTATTTTATATTGAAAAATAGTGTTTGTCCATAAAAAAATCAAATTTTGGAAAACGTGTAATACATAAATATGCCCTTTTATTTGGTTTAAGCTTGTATCTATTCCCTTCAACTTTGAATGTGTGTGAATCGACACTTAAGTTGGTATAAAATTGAAAAAATAGACACATTCGTATCACATGATATCTTACATGAAATTTTGTGCCCTATGTGGCGTCCTACGTGTATTATGTCACGTCGGACACATGTGTCTACTCGTTCAATTTTATATTTAAGTATTTATGTTAGTGAAAAACTTACAAGATAACAACAAATTGCAAGATTACAATTGAAAAATAAAATGAAGAAACAAAAATCTGGCTGAGTCGCGGATATCTCGCTCTTTTTAATGAGATTCAAGCCCACTGCAGCAAATGTTATTTCACCGGTCCAGCAGCAGTCCTCTTTGACTTGTCCCCTCCAGGATACAACAACCTTCACAAAGTATAACTCGACAACTCTGGACAAGAGTTGAGTCCAAAGCTCCACAAAAAAGAACACATCCCTTCAACTAATAAGAACTCTCTTTTTCACAAACTTTATTCACTCTATACTTTCCTTGTGTGTTGCATGTAACATACCAAATGAAGACCATCACTATTTATACTAAAAAAAGTCTTCTTAGAAATAAATAGGAAGATAATGGAGTGGTAAATAGTGAAGATAAATGGCCCTAGAAGTTACATAAATTACAAGGTATAATGGAGGAAGAATAATGGAGAAGTCATGGCAAAGGCCACCAACGGCTAAGAGCTACTTCAAGAATTGGAATTGTAAACAGAGAGTAACTCCAAATGGAGTAAAGCAGCACTAAGTGCCACCAACGGCCAAAAGCCATTACTCCCCATGTTCTGCAAATGAAAGTCAACAAACGTATTCAAAGGTAGGAATGAAACTGCCCACTTACTGCTGAAACAATCAACATTCTTCTAACTCCAAAACAAAGCAAATTAATATATTAAAATGCTAACAAACCAACACTTGTGCATACACAAAATAAAAAGACATAAATATCAATTAAAACTAAGTTAAATAACATATTTATGTATTATGTCGTGAAAAACAACCACAATTATTACATGGACATGCACCATGTTATAATTAAAATATAATTCAATCAACAGACGTTCATGTTAGTGCCAAATACCAATCATGTGTCCTCTTCTAATTTAAAGGTGTGCCATAATTATAACATGGACCTGCATCATAAATAGGACAACTACTACATAATCAATACATTAGATGAAAAAAGTGCTATACCTACTCAATTTGTCTTGTCATTCTCTCCTCTCTTTTTTTTTCGACATTCGATATCTATATTGGAGTTTTAATTTAATTGAGATCACACATACATGACGCTTTAAACATAATTTTCTTCATACTCATGACTCAAATTTAAGACCTTTAGTTAAGGATGTGAAACAGTACTTCTACCACTGAATTATTGATTCTCTCTTTTTTTCTTCCACTCTTCTCAAATCAACTCGAAATTGAACATGAAAGAAGTTGTTTAATAGCTGATTCAAGCCATGCAGAAATTAATAATGTACAAATTAAATATAAAGAAATTTGAAAAAAATAGTAGAGAGAAATACTAGAAAGGAATATAAAAGAATTTCATTCTTCTTCAATTTTGTATAATATAATATAAATAAATATAATGTCCTTATACATACAATTTGTTGATGCATAAAGTGACAAAATTTTCTAGCAAACTTAATATTCTATCTACAAAAACCAACAGCTATACATAAAAGTTCTTTTCTTTCATTTATTATTTTTCTGCAAATATTTGTGGTCCATTATCTCAAAACAACATTTATTTGTAACTGTCTTGTTCCTCCATCGCTAGATACCCCATAAAAATTATTTATAATTTTGTACAAATATAGAGATTTATTATTTATGTATTAGTTAGTTATTTTAATTTTTATCTTACATAAAAATAATACATAAAGTATTTCGTAATTTATACATATATTTTTATGTAGATTACGAAATTACCAATAAAATTATATTAATTTTTATATAAATAACTAAATTCCTAATCATTTATCAAACATAATTTTACTCATGCAAAACTTCAAATCAACTATCAAACGACTCTTCATAACGCTGATAGAGTCATAGTTTTCACTTTAAAAAAATCAAAAAAAAAATAACCACATAATTTTTTTAAAAAAAGAAATTCAATAAATACCATAAATACGTAAATATAATTTTCTCCTAAAGAAAATATTGAGTTGAATATTAAAAACACACGTTTAAAAGAAATACTAAAATAGGACTACTGCATAATCAATACGGTTGCCGAAAGTGCTATAAGGACAATATTGTTTTCGTGATTCTCTTTTCTTTTTCTTTCGACGACGAAATTTATTTATTATTTTATGTCGTTATTATAGAATATCAGTTACGTTAATTTTTAAATTACAAATCAAAATAATAATATTTTTTTCACTTTTATGTATAAACTAGTAAAATTACGCACGTTTCGCGCGGGAATTTAATATCACAAAATTTATAAAATTATACTTAAAACCTATTAGACATTAAAACTAAAACATTATAGTATCTTACATACAAGATTACGTAGCAACAAACATTAATAATGTAAAGGAAAATGAAAATTATTACTCCCTTCATTCCATATTAAGTTAATTTTTGAGACATTTTCCATTTTTCAAATTAACTTAATTGTTCAGTTTTCAAGACTAATTTTAGAGTGTTCTTCCAATTTTACCCTTCATTAGTTAGTATTGGAATTAGTGATTAATTAATATTTAGTTATTTTAATCATAAATTTGACAATTATTAATAAGGGTAAAAATGAAAAACTAGGTTGAATTTATGTCTTAATCTACTTTTCTTAAAGGGTGTGAAACACCTCAAAAATTAACTTAATATGGAATGGAGGGAGTACTACATCTTATTATTTAGCCTGCCTTAATAGCATAATCATAAATTATAAATTAATGATTGTAAAAATACATATCAGGATCTGTAACATAGTGTTAGTGAGCCACTCAACATCCACAAAGTATACAAATATTTAATTGAGAAGAAGAAGAAGAAGAGGAGGAGGAGGAGGAAGAGGAAGAGGAAGAAGAAGAGAAGGAAGAGGTTCAGAATTTTCGTTGTGTTCAAATAAGAGGAAATCCCTCTATTTATAGACAACAAAGGGTAGTGTGAACAATTATTTATTGTGCCTTATCAGAAAGGTTACAACTATTTGGAAAAGTTGCAACCCTTCGAAAAGGTCACAACCTTTCATAAAAGTCGCAACTTTTCATGAAAGGGAAGACTAATTTTGTAAATAAATAAATTAAAAGGGAATTCTGATTTGTGGTGGCGCTACGTAGGCGGGCCTAAGGTTCTCTTTTATATATATATATATATGATAACTAACCTCGCAATCAATTATCGAATATAATATATATTAAAGAGAAGTATTGAAAGCACTTCTCAACTCGGTGCAAGTTATTATCTTCTCTCCCATACTATTGACTTGAGTAACCAAACTTAGATGCATCCCGATCAGCCACATGACATAACAAATGATCTCAAATTCTTATAAGAGCATGTTGCTATTAAACTCCCTAAACTTCGCGAGAACTTAGGGGTACTGTATTTCACTAATATTGCAAAATTATGAATATATTTAAGTTCGATCAATTAAATAAAAAAATATTTTTAACACTATCAATAATTGAAAAATGAAACTAATAATTCACATAAAATTTTAAAAAAATTATATATTGTATTACTTAGGCATGACATGACCTCCACTACCAAACGTGCCGTTTATAATATTGGGTTCACTATAAAAAGTACAAGCACCATAGATTAAAATAATAATTACTCTATTTGTCGTGATTTTTCTCTCTTCTTCTTCTTGAGTGCTCTCAATTTGAAATTTGAAAATGGAGGGGACGATTAGATGCTCTGCAAATTATGTTCCGTTGAGTCCAATAAGCTTTTTGTTAAGATCAGGTGTGGTATACAGCAACAGAATTTCTATTGTTTATGGCGATGTTAAGTTTACTTGGGCGGAGACAAGACGAAGGTGCTTACAACTTGCTTCTGCCTTTACCCATTTTGGGATTTCTCGGGGTGATGTCGTATGTTCTCTTTCGATCCCTTCTTATTATTATTAGCTTCCGTTTCATCATAGATTTTGAAGTTGAAATTTACAAATTATATGCTCTTGTTTGATCATATAGTAGATCGTCTTTTGGTAATTTGAAAATATTTGATGGCCAAACTGACATTTGGGATTTCTATCATAGATTTTGAACTCAAAACCTCGAAATTTGAATTTTTTATTTTTCAAGTTGTGTTTTAGATATGCATTG